AATATTATTAGTATTATGATATAGTACCAGCTTCCATAACCTCACCTCATGACTGAGATGCCTAATTCTAGCTATAAATATAGTTGTCTTTGCTGTACCCTCTCAAGTGCCAAAATATCCTTATTGTAATACATCAACCAGACATTTAGTTGCATAATTCCAAGTGGGTCAGACCAGAATTGCACAAATTCAATATAACTTCTGGGTGACTTCTGCATATCATGGGGATGCTGTATTTGATCGGTTTACACTGCACGCATGGAACCATTACATTTCCAAATAAACTTTAGCTATTGCTATTTTTATACTGCTTTTAATGTTTATTCTGAGTTTCCTCACACCACTTTATATATTGTGACACTGCGCAAATTTATTGAGGCGATAGAATAGTTCACCTGATGTGCATTAAACCCAACCTTATAATAGCACACCTAAATCTACAAGTATGATAATTGCATTTCCCACACCATCAATCCTTACAGTGTTTCCAACTGTGGTTGCCAATTAAATGTAATTGTGGAAATCATACATGCTAAAAGCTGGATTGAGACTGCCCAAATTAATTTTGCTTTGCACCTTACAGCTAGCAAGGAGAGGTCTCATCAATCTCATCAATCTGGACTGATTCAAAGTCAGATTTCAGAAGGAAAGTTAAAGTTGCCGACCCAGAAACAACAACAATATCAATTTGCTATATGGTGTCTTTCATAGTCTCAAAATGCTTCACACAACTGAATATAGCACCCTGTTACGTTGTTGAATGTCTCAAAGCTCTTCACAGGATTTTTTACTGTGAATTGTAGCAGTGAATAATACAGGTTTGAGGAAGAAAACAGCAGTCAAAAATATCTGTACTAATTAAATAAATGATTGGAGGGGTGGTGAATTGATTTTTATGTAGATAAATCCAATCTAATACATATTGGACCAAAAATACAGTGGAATATGGATACAAAATAGAGGGCCCTCCATTTATATTGTACATATATAAATACAAGTTGTTGTTAGTTGAGGAATGAGATCATAATTGGAGTCATAGATTCAAATTAAAAAGTCTCAGGCAAGACATTTTAAATTAAATTTTTAATTTAAATTAAAGGATTTGTTTTCTCCGCAGACTATTGGATACAGTGCATGGGACAACCTCCTAACATCAGCAGTTGATTACATTCTTTAAAAAGTTTGCCAAGTATCTGCTTGAGAACTGTTTTGGAGGGTATATGAATAGATGCAGAATTAGTTAATACAATAATTTACTGGACATGGCTGTTTCTGAGATAATGCCTTCGAAAAATAATGATGCCAGGTTGGGGGAAAATCAATGTTGAATATGGAGGAGAGGTGCCAATGGATGAATATTTTAGCGTTTTTATTTGATTTTGTTTGAACTTCTGGAAATATCTTTAAACACATTTTACCAATATCTTCTGGAAATATTTTTATGTTCTCCACTGAGATTGAGTTGGGAGGAAGGCTGAGATCCGCAATAGGATACTTTGACCTAGCTGTAAAAGGGATGAGCTTGATGAGCCAAGCTGCTGTTCTTGTTCATATTTTCTTTGGTTAAAATTGCTCCTTTTCAGGAGCTATAGTACTGTACTGTGTAGCAGAAGGAGCTCTAACAAGTGAGTGACAAAGGAGGTCAAGAATATTCTTCCTAAGAGCATCAAACAAGTGTAATCCCCCATTGTAAAACTAATAACATTTAAAAGGTTACTTATGCAGCTAAAGATTAATAAATTGAAGAGTAATTAAGGATATAATTATTTAGTGGAAAATGCAACCAAATTATATCTAACATTTGCTGCAGCGGCCTGAGGAACATATTGCTAACATCCCCTTAAAGGAGAATAGTTTTATTTGATTTTTTTTGTTTTATTTTATTTGAATCTGGTATTAATTTTAATGACTTAAGAGCAAAGAGCAGAGTGGACCACACACGTTTGAAGTGAAACGTCTTGGCCCTATGTCATGAGTTCACTTGCACTATCTATTTTATATAATGAAGACCTGTGCTAGATATACAGCGCTAATATCAAAAGATCACAAGGTTGGTGTGTTTGACGAAAGCCCTTTGGCCCATTTAATCTCATCTTTCCAGAATATACATTCTATCCTCTGCAGTCTCACTCCATGCATTTACCCACAAAACACAGTCGCAGTCACACTATGCATTACAGTATACCCTGTGAAGCACTTGGATCAAATCTCCTGATGTAAAATAATAAAAATTATCTTTGTATTTGATATAGCACTTTATCATGCCATTGAGAAGTCTCAAAACGATTCACAGAATACACTATAAAGTGAATTGACTGTAGATTTTGTGGGTGAAACGCAGCAGCCAATTGCACAATTGATTAACCAATCGCAAATTGGTTCTGAATTTACCCCCCTTCAATCGCAGACCATGTCCTCTAGTTCTATTGTTCAGTACAAGATAAAACAGCTTATGATGGTATGCAAACTGGCATGGATTGAATAACTAAATTATTATTCTTTTTTTAAGGGATTATTACTCCTGGAAAGTGATCTGCCAATCGACTAATAACCGGGTTCCTATTTACTGCTAAGGAAACTTGCCTAAGGTTTTCCTCTACCTGGGTTCTAACCAATATAAGAACGTAAAAATTTGCTAGGTAAAAGATTTTCACTTCTGAACTGAGTGCTCTAACCAATATAAGAACATAAGAATTTGCTAGACGAAAGAAGTCCAAGGTCCATCTAGTTCGCCTTCCAATATCTTGGCAGTTGCTTGACATGTCGTGTCCCAAATTATATACTGTATCCTGATATATTATTTTCTAGCAGAAATCTATCTAATTTGTTCTTGAAACTATTAATACTGTTTCCACCGTTTCCGGTGGGAGCCGGTTCCATACTACTCACTCAGTGAAGTAGTGTTTCCGCAGATTTCTTTTGAATTTACCCCCCCTTTAATCACTGGCCGTGTCTTCTGGTTCTGCTATTCAGTACAAGATAAAACAGCGTTTCATGATCTGCATTATCTAGTCCCTTCAGAATCTTAAAGACCGTAATCATATTGCCCTCAACCTTTTCTTCTCCAGGGTGAACATGTCCAGTTTACCTGATCGCTTCTCATTGTCCAGGCCGTCCATCCCCTCAATCAGTTCGGTTTCCCTCCTTTGCATCCTTTCATTCGCTGTAATATCCTTCTTATATTGCAATATATTGTGTTGCAAGCGAGAGACCTGAGTTCAATTCCAGGCAGGGCGAAACCTTGGGCAAGTTTCCTTACTCCACACGCCTAATAATAATCCCTCCAAAAAACCAAAAACAATAAGTAATTGGTCATTTTCAATCTACGACTGTTTGTGGGACATTGCTGTGCGCAATTGGCTGCCGCGTTCGCCCACAAATAGTCAATTCACTTTACAGTGTGTTCTGTGAAGCGCTTTGGGACGTCCTCCTGACGTGAAAAGTGCTATATTAAATGCAAGGATTATTATTATTATTGGCCTGAACTGCACACAGTATTCCAAGTGCTAAAGCACTCCACGTAAAATGCGCACTATTAAGTGTAAGGATCATTATTATTATTACTATTATTATTATCAGAAGGTATTGTTCTGGGTTCACTTCATTATTCTTCCCATTTTAAATGTATAAGATATCTGCTTTCAAACCTATATTTTGTTTTTCAGATTGTTTGGCTGGATGTGGGTTTCCAGTATTTTCTGGTTTTATTTCAGATTTATTTTACCGGTTTGGGATTTTATTTCTATGTCATGTAAATAATTGTGAATTCTTAGCACTTTAGCATTCGTAGCACAGAATATGTTTACTTGGTACATTTGGGGAGGAGATTGGGGAATTAAATCAAGGTCCCATCTGCCTGTTCAAGTGGATGTTAAAGATCCCATGGCACTATATGAAAAGATAAGGGAGTTTAGGTGGCCAGGCCGACAATCCCCTAAAATAAAATTGTTCATTCACTCCATGGCTGTTTGTGGGACATTGGTGCGTGCAAGTGGCTGCTGCGTTTCGCCCGCAAAATACACACTCAAGTCCACAATCAAAACGTCTCAACGATGCGATAAGGCGCTATATCAAATGCAAGGATTGTTATTAGTATAGGAATCAGTTCCCAGTTTCAAGTGCCCTTCCCATTTGTGTGGCTGTTTAGCTTTACCATCGTTAGGGGGCGACATTAGACCACCGTATCTCTCGTTCAGAAGCACAGATGATACATTTCCTTGTGTGTCCATCAGATGTCGCCTTTGACCTGAAGCAGTGTTTGCTGAGGCTGCTGTGCAGGAACTGGACAGAGAACCATTGTTTTGTGATGAATCATCTATTTTCCCGTTCGCCCTCCGGCTAAAGGGGAAGAGAAGCACAAGAGACGTGAATCTTAATACTCAGTGTTTCTCAACCGTGTTTTTGAAAGTAAACTGGACCCACATAGGTATAGCAAAAGTGCATATTATTACCTAACGCCCCAGTAGTCGTCTATTTGGCATTAAACTTGCAATATGTGCAACAGGGAAAATGAGGATCGCGATTGCTTTCATTTGAGCTTTGTCACCCAAGTCGACATTTCTTGGGGATTTTAAGTACATTTTTGCCCATTGTTAAATACAGTCTTGGTAGCGTGTGCACATTAACCTGAATATTTAGCTTTGGCAATTAGTGCTATAATCCTTGGCAACTCAGCACAACAACAAAAGACGGAAAAGGGCCTTATGCAAATCACTTCTTTTTGACACTGCTTTTTGATTTTGATCTTAATAACATGGTGCGTGGAGTAACTTAAAATTAATTATATGGTACTTGACTAGGAGGGAGGAAGCCTTTTGAAAAGACTTCAGTGTTAGCAGAGTCTGCCACCTGCACTGGGCTGCATTAGAGAGAAAAGAACAAAATAAATTGTAGAAGGGTTCTTAATCAGAGGAAGGTCGGTGTGTTTTCCCCCAATTCTCTCCCTCCTCCACCCCCCACTCCCCCCCAACCCCCACCCCCACCCACCAACAAAATGTTGGGAAATGGCAGGCCTTGGAGGGACTGGCTGGAGCTATTCAACAGAGGAGAAGGTATGAAACGCGTTTGCATTCGTAACTGGTAGTTTTTCTAGATAAATTAGTCCCCCTTTTTCCCCACCAACGAGCCTTATAACAGTCGAGCGAGGTGGCAAAGTAAATACATCTTTCTTTCAGCAGAATGTAAATATTAGGAATGCAAATATATTTGTGGTTAAATGATCTTTCCTCTCACTACATTGCCTCTGTGTTTACTTTTCGACGGTATGTTGGTGCTGTGTTGAAAAACAAATATTGTATCAATATTTCATGTCATGGCATTATTGCAGTTTCCAATCTGAATTACACGCTGGACGCTTTGAGTTTCACCATTAAATTGTTCTCCATTTATAATATAATTGCGTTTTTATCAATATTTTATTTTCAATTTAAGACATTTGATGCGACATTTGATATATGATTAGATATCTTGTAATTGCAGTTATTGAAATAGAGGTTTTATTAGGTTTTTTTTCATTTAATATGCAGATTTAGGTTACACAGGTAGACCTGGTATTGTTAATGGGTAGGATTGTACGTTTGCATTGAATTCATACTTGCAAAGGAAGTGTGAAGGCTGGGCGATACATTTCAGAAACAAGAAAAATACACCTAAAATGTCCTAAATTCTAAGCGTGGCTTGCAGCCTTCGGTGGTATAATGATTATTCTAACTTTGCTTTTATTTTATCCCCTCAATAAGATTGGCAGATGCCAGCCTGAAATTGAAAGGCTTAGACCATCACACACATATGTAGAATAAAAGCAGCAAAAAGAAAGGAGGAAAGGAGCAGAATACTGTACACTGTGTAGATCACTTCAACTGTTGCTAAAGCCAAACAGCATACTGTGCTGCCAGTCTCAGTGGAATTACCTTTCCCAGAAAATAACCCAAATCTATGCATGTGGCGTTCAGATATTACAGTGATTTTCAACGCAGCCCTTCAGAGGGAAATGATCGCTTAATCCCGCAGAAGGATTCTAGTTATTGTAGGAAGTGTATGAGTGCTGTATTCTCTCTTCTCTCTCTGTTAACCAGTGGATCCACACGCCCTGAGCCTTGTGAGCGAGTGAGGGAGGTGTGTGATCCGTTACACTGGTTACATGAACAAGTGAAAATCGTTCTTTAGATAGTTGCTATGTAAAACCTCGCCGGGTGCTGTGGGGTTTCCAGCATATGTGTGATTTATACTTGTGTGTATTAGTGATTAATGACACATAATTGGCTAATCTCAAAGCAATTTCTCAAACCTGCGGGTATGGAACTGCGAGGTTGCTTTCGGGAGGAGAGAGAGAGAGAGAGAGAGAGAAAGAGGCATTTTTTTAAATATGAAGGAAGCAACTTCTCTGTATCTCTATTATTTTTTTAAAAAAAATACCATATTCATTACAAGGAATAAAGCAACCAATGTTTGTTATTTTATTCGTGCAACGAAGGGAAAACGTGCCAATACAAACGATTTCAGTTAATTTAAGGCACAAACTTGACCATTATTGTCACGAGGCAGACTGTCAATATATGTTTTTTTAATTGAAAATATATAAAAATCGTTTTACTTTTTGCATTGTGGAATTCTTGCAGTAATAAAACGCAGGTTCCCATTTTTAAAACCCCCCACACACACAAACTGGCCTTTTGTATCATAAAGATTATGGGAATTATTGACTGAAAGGAGTTTTCAGTCTATTAAGTCATCGATCTCGATAGCAATTTAAATTACAGCATGTTTGAAGTGAACCATTCATGGGCTTTGTTTTCCCTTTTAAAAAAGGAAGAATCGCGAATTATATAAAAAAAAGAATCAAACATATGTCTAAACAGGACACTGTTGTTTCCAGTCTTTGTTGGTGAAACCGTTTAGTGGCAAGTCTTCCTTTTTTGTTATTAAACCAGAAACAGCTTTGGTTGCAGCAGCGACTCCACTTTGAGCTTTTCAGATATCCTTAAGCGAAGATTTCCACTTATGCCCGAGGCAGTGGGTAATTAGTGGCTAATAATGTCTGTGTGTCCCAGTGGGTATTTGTGTGTGGTGTGTGTGTGTGTGTGTGTGTGTTCATCTTTTCCTACGAATACTAGTGAGCAAGAATACAAATAAACCTTTACAAATACCATCTGAGCAAAACATTATCATCTCACGGAAGGAATTCTAGAATTAAAGTCAGAGAACCAGCACTCTCTCTCTCTCTCTCTCCCCCCCCAACCCCCCCACACCCCCCCCCACCCAACTCCACCCCATCTTATCACTTGACAACCGATCGCCCTCGGAAGCACTGTATTCCTGTGGATTCTTTGAGGGAGGGGGTTAAATCGTGCAAAACAAAATGAATACGTGCTAAAAACGCAAGGTGAAATCATTCGAATCTGATCCGAGGAAAGGCTTTTTTTTTGTTGGTGTGCAAATGTTTTCAAGAGGAAAATACTGCAGCGAGGATGGAGGGGTGGGCACCCACCTCACAGTCAGTGCCACGCTGTGCTCGGCGCTGTTGCCAGTCACCTCCTTGTTAATCATTGATGGTCGGTGGAGTCTTTATTAGCTGACGAGAAAGGGCGGTGGATGCAGATTTATCTTGAGAAGCGCTTTTGCCTTTCAGCTCTGACGTCTTTGTGAGACGGAAGGCAGAAAGGGCTGTAAAATATACATTTATTTCTCCCTCCCCAACCGCAATAAAGCCCTCTTGGAAAGCTTTCCACTTTATGCAGGCGTGTCATCAAAGTATATGGGTTTGCATTTAAACAAAATCTGCACCGAACATATAGGTTCATTTATAATACACTGACAGATATAATACAGCACACAGCTTTGCATCTGCTCAGATATGCAGCAGGGCCAGTGCAGAAATAAATTCAATAGAAAGCAGGGATCGTGTGGAGTCTGTTTAAAACGTGTTTGCTTTGTGAAATGCCTAACATTTATTCACGCGGAGCAAAACGCGAGGCGCCCGAATCATCACAGATGAAAGGCGAATAGAAGCAGCAAATACTTGATGAAATGATTTTTGTTTGCATTAAAGTGAACCAGGAGAACTCTGCGTGTTTAAGGTGGATTGGGATAAGGCAGGCCAGTTGCCCAGATTGTGTTGGAGTTATCTAGAGCAGCGATAAGCCCCTTCCTCCCCGGGTCGCTTGACCTCCTCTTTCCAAAATATAAATTATTGGTAGATTCATTTGTGAATGTGCATGGCTACATTATCCTGCATTAACCTTTTTTTTTCCTTGTCCCGCGGACAGCTGTCAGTCCCGCACTGGAAATACGGCAGATCTATGGTATTTTCTGTTTGTATCTATGAAGATCAAATTGTACCTTTAATGTCCTGCTACTTTGTCCTTTTAACACGCGATAGAAAGGATTAACAGTGGAGTACAACCCAACGCTATTCTCTTTCCCCTTCTCTCTCTCTCTCTCTCTCTCAGACGTGCGGGTTAACCAGTCACTGCCAGGACAGGAAAGGAATATTACATTAACGAATCCATCATTATAAGGAAATAGTTACTATTATCATTTGCGAATGTTATATTCCACCCCCTCTCCCACTAAAAAAAATGAACAGCAACAAAACATCACATTATTAATAGCAAAATAGCCTGATTGTTAATATTAGACTGTGCAGCTGACATTTTATTAGATTATTTTGTGATCGATGTTACATATACCGGATTATTTTATCCGAAAAAAAACATCAATTGAAGATGTTAGGATTAATTCTCAGTGTTGGTAAAGTAGGTTTGTGCATTAATATTTTTTTTAAACACACACTCAGTGTACAAATCTCTTAACGCTCCCAATCGGTACAGTGTGTTTGTCAAATTTTCTGTTGTTTGAAAATAGTTTATTGATTGTAATAACAGACGCGTTATTTTGATCTGCGTTGACATAATGGCTGATTTATAGATTCGTTTGGTATCGATTTCGTAGTGTTAACTATTCGTATGGAAATGACAACCTGACTCACTTCTAAGTGTAAAATAAATGCAAAGTCAAGCAATCCGCGTGTTGTAATCTGTAATTTTACACATTGTATTTATAATTTGTAGAGAAATTGTCATTTTGCCCCATTCTCACCCCTTCCACATTGATATAAAAAAAATGCACAGGGAGAAAAAAATAACCTGTATCGTTAAATTGTTAGATTTTTTTCCACTGCGATGTAATTGGTGATTTTTTTTCTGACTTCAATGTAATGCAGGAGAAATGTAATATTTCTCACACATGTAACATGTGTGAGAGTGTGTTGTACATTTTACAAAAAAAGGACTGAGGGGCGATCAAAATATTCCGCACATCAGTGATTAAATTAAACTGTGCCACTTCTCATCTGAAAATAACGTGTGTGGCACTGAGATGGAACTGTATACACACACAGACACACACAATAAATGTCGAGCCCATTGCATTTCAGACCCAGTTGGATTAGAGCAGAAATAAACGTTTTTTTTAAATTTTAATAGACATATTGTAAAAAAATAGACACAAATTGTCGATTGAAGGAAGCAAATATTATTTGAATGCGTTTGATGAAATTTAACACCATAATAAGCGTTGCAACCTCTTGTTACATAAACCCTGTGATGTATCTCACCCTTCTATGTCTCGCTGTTTTACCCATTGGTACATTCATTTGGAAGTTTATCCGATGCATTACGAGTTACGACATTATTTGCATGTGGTAAAATGTGCCCACGATTTAAGAGGAGAGCAAATCCCATCATTTCACATAACAAAGTGGCGTTTTCCAATTCAGATGCAATATGTACACAGGTAATTGTTAGAATTTTTTTTAAAAAATCGTTTGTATTGATTGCGACGTATTTTGTGCAACCCCAGCGTTTTGCCATTGAAATATTTAGCAATTGTATTCGACTGATATCCCACGACATTTTACATGGAAACAAAATGACCGCTTTTGGGGGCTTTGCATTAGTAAACGGTGTGATGTGGATTTGATCTGCAGAATCGCTGTGTGCGGTGGGGGTGAAATGCCTCTGTGCACTTTAATAAACGAACACTGCCCAGCTGTGTGTGCCACTGTATCAATGTTATTTTTTTTAAAAAAAGTAAAAGGAGGTGTCTGCGTTTAATACGAGTGAAAGTATTACTGGCAATCGGATTTGAGAAGGGACATCTGTCTAATGCAGCCAATAAGGGCGGTGCATTAGTGTTATTGGAGCTGAGAAGCGGGGACAGCAGATCGCGATGGGATTAAAGGAAAATTCCCAATCGGATCACTGAGGTTGGCAGTCCAGCCTGATGTATTCAGGGCAGCAGAACGTCAGGCAGACTGCACCAGCTCCAGTCTCTATATAATCCGATTACTATAGAGTCAGGCAAGCCACTCTGGTTTCCAGCACACACACACACACACACACACACACACACAGAGTCAGATCAATATACAGTAGCCAGGTCTGAGGCTCTCTGTAACCAGATCGATGCAGAATCACAAAAAGGGCTCCATTCCCTGTTCATCTTCATATCAGACGAACTTCTCTGTGTCACGAGTCCACGGAGACCACATGAAGTCAGGCAAACTCGGAATATATTTATGGTCAAACTTCATCCAGTCTGTGTACAGTTAGGTTAGTTTGTGCCAGGCAGAGAAAGTGCTTCAGCTTTATTACACATATCAGCCGAATAATAGTTAGGGAGAGAGAAAGAGTGGAGCTGCAGTCTACATCTGCACAATCAGATCCCCACTGACTGAGCCTGTCTCGGTTAATGTGTAATGATATCAAGATAAAGTCAAGTGGATTCTGCCTCTATACACTCAAGACAGCAGCTTCAGAAACAGCAACATAAACTTTACCAGTGTGCTTGGTTGATGCGATTTCTATACAGTCAGAACAATAGTCAGGCAGACAAGACAGCCCAGTTCCACTGTGTAACAGAACCGGATCAGCACACTTTAGACTGACACAGCCCCAGTCACATGGGATTTTAAACAATTAAGGGTCAGGCACATCACTCCATTGCCAGTCAGTAAAATACTATATGGTTTGGATGCTCTTAAGCATGGTGATGGGTTTCTGCATGTGTCAGACACCTGGCTAATCAAAAAAACTATATAAAACAAGGGTTAATAATCCCTTCAAAAAATATATTCATTTGGTCACTCAATCTACGATTGTTTGTGGGACACTGCTGTGCGTAATTGGCTGCCGCATTTCGCCCACAAAATGCACAGTCAATTCACTTTACAGTCTATCCTGTGAAGTGCTTTGAGACGTCTTGAAGATATGATAAGATGCTATATCAAATGCAAGGATTATTATTATTAAGTGGGACAGATCGCCCCATAGCTGGAGCTTTGTAGGAAAGGAAGATGCCCCTGTATACATTTCTTCTATCACAAACAGGGAGAAGAATGTTTTATTGAAGATATTGTCACTCCTAAATAACTGCCATGTTATGAAATTATGAAGAAAAAAGCTAATTTACTAATTATAGCACTACAATAATCCATGTTCACATTTCCAATAACTTCAATGTGCTTAAAATTTATAAATCTCAGGTGATTTGTGCCGATTTTTTCATTGATCTCAAAATGTCTTGAAACTAAGTGGGCTTTAGGACCAAGAGAAAACCATTTGCAACCAGGTCTACCAGCCTGTTAAATAAAAGAAGAGATGGTAAAGGAGATGGGGGGATTCTGCCAGGCAAACACCTGGGTGAACTTTCTCATCTGCATTCTTCATTTGTAGTGCACACTTCCTCAAATCCTGTTGTGTATTCAGGTTTCTATCAGTAAATATCTGGAAAATTGTAACAGAATTAAAGCAAGTATGCCATATGGTTATACAACATGTTGACCCTCCCATATCAAATGATCACATATTTACTTACAATGAAAATCAGGTGATGTAGTTACGTCGCCAGTTGATACACTATATTACATCACTTCTTAGTGAAAGACCATATTTTTTGTGGGGAAAAAAAAGGAAATATTGAGATTCCCAATATAATTTATTAATATGATCTCATGGAGCAATATTGAAGAGTGAATCAGTCTCATAAATACACCCCATTCAGCTTGAATTTCTGAGTGTTTTAAAATAATCCACACAAATCCATTTCCTATTATCCTAATATTCTCACTGTTGGCTTTGGCTGAGAAACTGAATAAAGGAGAAACTATTGTTTGCAATGCAGGTAGACAGAATTCAGAGGGAGGAGGGGTAAAAAATCTTACAGATTTAAGAGTCGAGAGAAAAATATTAAGTGGTTCTCCCCTGGAAACTCCGCTCCAAGTCTACCTTGCTTTAGGCAATTTGAGAGACAATGGACACGTTCCTTATTGTACATCAAACTTAGAGGATCAAATAATATTTGTGTGCCAGCTCCATCCACAATAAAACGCAAATTCACCCAGTTATTATACTTAGTTCCACTTTGCATGTTTTACTTTGTAGCACTTATTTTATTGTAAAGTCTCACTTCACAAAAGAAAGCATAGTTTTTCAGTCGTCAATTAGTTAAGTGAAAATAGTTGGGAAATGAGGTGGACAAGCAAAATCTAGGTACAAGATCAGAGCTTTTCCTGGTCTATAACACCCTAGTTTAAACAGATTTCAGAGGTGGGGGGATGGCTGACAATGTAGCTGGCTCTTCAATGTCTCAACACGGGTGACAAATTGCCCCTCAGGACTGTTAGGACAGCCCACCCACCGTTGAAGTTGAGAATGACAACTTTCCTGCTTTATTTACACGACACTGTTACATTCACATTTGCTCTGTATCTACCTTGCAAAAGCTGGAACCGTCCCTAGTTGACACACTGGAACAATAAAGTGCAGAAACAAAGGGCAATCACAAAATATGTTTCGCCCACAAAATACACAGCCAATTTACTTTACAATATACTCTGTGAAGCGCTTTGAGACATCTAAGGCGCTACATCAAAGGCAAGGATTATTATTATTAATGCAACCTATTTGCATTAATGGAATGAATATCCCAGGTTCTGTTAAGCTGTACACATTTATTCTATTTTGTATTTTTTTTACAGACACTGTGGACTTTCCTAATACTATTTCCATCTTAAAATCAAGCGGAAAATAGTAGTGTTCAGTACTGCTCTGGACCATTACTCATAACATATTTTAAGTGCAAATGTTAACTTGACCAGACAACACATGTAGCAACCCACTCACTTTCCTTTTATTTTATCCCAATCCTATAAAATATTATGATTATGTAAAACCAAACCTGGAGCCAAACAGCTGATCTTAGTTCGACCAAACTCTAGAATCCTGTGGGATGAGTGGAATGTAAAAAAAAAAGTCAGTGAGAACTGAGAGTGTTCAGCAACTTCTCAAGAGTTATACAAAAATGTACCAAGACTGGAAAAGATTATTGTGGTCCATCTTGTGGAGTCCTGTAGCATAGGGGTTAGAGCACTTGCCCACAAAATGTACAGTCAATTCACTTTACAGTATATTCTGTGAAGCATTTTGGGACATCTCGAAGATGTGATAAGGTGCTATATCAAATGCAAGGATTATTATTATTATTATTATTAATATTATTAAGCTTGTGGGCTGTCTTCATGCCAAAAAAGCGTTAAGGCCAAAACCCCACAGAATGGATACACGATTGCTATAAATTCTAATCTTTTCTCTCGTGCAAAGATCTACCATCTGGTACCACGTGTCCAACAACAGTTTACGAAAAATTATTTTAGTTCAATTAATATTTACCCATTTTACGCAAAATGTGTGATATTTAAAGATGCCATGACATGACATTGGTTTCAACTCTAGGAGCCTTTAACACCTTACCACAAATTCTGAAGGGTTGAGTTTAGAATGTAAACAGCCAGTCGATTGAGTCACTGAAACAAAGCAGACCTTTCATTTATTATACTGTATCCACTGGGCTAATGTGAGGTTGATCCCTTTTTCAGGAATATCTCCTTTGTGGAAGGAGACTAAATGTCATCATCTCAAGGTGAAGAGACATTGGCGTGATGAATGTCCTGTCTTTCTGACATTGAAAAATAAATCAAGGAAAGTTATGAAGAAAATATCTCTGGGCCTTTTTTGTGGAGCCGTTGGACTGGATCGGGTTTATAAATTAAACACATCATGATGACAAGCTTTGAAATCGTCTGGCAGATAATAACCATAGCAACCCCAAAATTTAACCATCTACTTCCAAAAATAGCATTTTGTCATCAATCTGTTCAATATAGCAACGCAAAATTGCTGGTAGTTATTAAAATATTTGTTAAACAACTTTTTTTATTCGCCATTTGCCTGCTCCTTGTATAATTTGTGATGCTCTCTTTGCTTTTGTGCTTTGGTGAGTTACAGACTTTGCAGAGATGACGAGAAATCAGAAGGCTGCCGTGAAAGAGTTAAACTGAGACTGGGGACAAGTTTCTGGACACTGTGAGTCTCACCTGCACCTGCCAGACGCCTGCTGATAAATTTACACTGGCTCAGGAACAACAGCAGTGGGCCAGGAGGTTAGATAAATAGTACATGACATCCTAAGCACTGAAGGTTATTTGATTCCCAGCCTTGCTTTCTGACGCCTTTTCCACTGTCTGCATACAAGAGTAAACTAGTAGACACCCCCACCCCTTCCACACACATATACACACACTCATGCCCCATTCAAATTAAGGACATTTAATATTGCAGGGCTGGTTAGGAACGCAATAATTATTGTTCTTGTGTATGATTGTGACTGCTTTTCAAGGAAGGCACTTAGAAATGTAATTACATTTGTAAATTTCGTAAAGAATTGCAATTGTTGGATAATTATAAATCAAACACGTACATGTACCAATCAGTTGTTCCAGTTCCTGCACAGTAGAGCAGACTATTTCTATATGACTGAGTGCCTGGAAACACAGATATTTCAAACAGAATTTGCCTCCTGGCTCATACAGTTCATGTTCAACAATGACCTGGGAGCACAGCAACAAAGGTATGTACAGGATGGGATAAGATTATAACAGTCCATCTGGCCAGACCTAACCTATATTTATTTAAAAAAACTAAATAATAATCATAACATTCAATAATCCTTGCATTTTGGTATAGTATCCTTCACATCGGGAGGATGTCTCAAAGCACTTCACAGGATTTACTGTGAAGTGAATGTATTTTGTAGGTGAACACGGCAGTCAATTTGCCCACAGCAATGTCCCATAAACAGCCATGAAGCGAATGATCAATTTTATCTGGGGTATTGTTGACCTGGACACCCTGCTTATGCTATTCTATCTATCATAACTCTCAATCAGTCATCTATCCCTCTTTTGAGTTTGAATCTACTTCTCCTCCAGTTGTGACTCCAGGTCCGCTGATGTTCTGTCAGCTTGCTTGTCAGACATCAAGGTCCGGATGAGCGCTAACTTACTGCAGTTGAATATTAACAAGAAAGAAGCCTTACTCCTTGGCTCCCGTCAATGTCTTCTCTCCTGTAGTTCTGACCTCCTCAACCTCCTCGGCCTAACCCTAAGTCTTACATAATCTGTGTGTAACCTAGGGATCAGGTTCAATCCCCAGATGTCCTTCCTATCCGACATCTGGTCCCTGACCAGGACTGCTTTCCTCCACATTGCCTGCCTCTGATCATACCTCACATCCAATGCAGCCGAAAACATCCATGCTTTCGTCACCTCCCGCCTCCACCACTGAAAGGCACTCCGCACTGGTCTTCTCCGTTCAACTATCCACAAAATCCAACTAATTCAAAACTTTGCTGCGCATATAATTACCCCCACTAAACACCATACCACCATTACACCAGTCCTCACCAGGCGCCACTGGCCCCCTATCTCAGACTTCAAGATCCTCTCACTCATCTATAAAACCCTTCATGCCCTGGTATTCCTCTACCTCTCAGACCTCCTTACTTCCTACTCCACTACCTGCAGTCTCCACTCTGTTGGCTCCTGCTTCCTCCTTGTCCCTTGTTAGCATAATAAATCTTGGAATGGTTGTGGAACACATCCAAACTGGTCTGAACTTCGCTGGTTTTCTGGCAGCAGGTGAAGTTCACCAACTGCTGCCACAACCCCCTCCTCACCCAGCTGCTGGTCACTCAACTCCCCATCCTCTCCCCCCTGCTGGTCAACCAGTCTCTATCCCCAGGCTCGGTTCCACTCCCCTCTAAAAAACGCTGTTATCTCACCCATCCTCAAAAAGCTAACCCTTGATCCCTCTAATCTCTCACATTACCATCCCACTTCCAACCTACTCTTCCTTGCTAAAGTCCTGGAATGCATTGTTACAGGTCAACTTCGGTCACACCTCTCCCTCCTCGAGCCCCTGCAGTCTGGTTTTCGCCCTGCCCAGAGCACAGAGACAGCACTTGTCAAAGTCCTCTCTATCAGTGACCAGGGCTCCCTCTGCCTCCTCATCCTCCTGGATCTCTCTGCCCCATTCAACACAGTTAACCACGCCATCCACTCCCTGGCACCTTCCTACTTCTCTGCACTACTATCGGAGGTCACGCTTTCAGCCACTACACCCTGAAACTCTAGAAAACTCTCCCTCAATCCCTCCGCCTTATCCCCTCTGTCCCCTTTTTTAAGTCCCGCCTGAAAACCTTCCTTTTCGACCATGCTTACGATCACCTCCCACCCCGGCTCTGCCACTTTTAAGCATTCTGAGATGCTACCCTGCGTGGAGGGCGTTATATAAGTGCAAGTTGTTGTTGTTTCATAAGGCTGAGTTGTCTCAGTTGTTTTTTTTGTGGTGTTCAGATTGGTTTTAACCATTTGCATGGCACTGGGACCTTTCCATACAACAGCAAGTCAGTTGGTGCATTTAACTGAGTAGTATGACTTATCAATCATTTATCTAAAAGGCATTGTGGGCCACTCCATCCTTCTCGACTGTTTCTCCTCCCTGGTACATTTCTAAGAATCTGTACATTTGTAATTTTACTACCTCCTGTCTTAGCAACTTCATGCCATGTCTGATGACCTCCTCTCTTGTGCAATGTTCTGCAGGTTCTATCCTCCTTTTCCTCATCTACATGCTCCCAATTGGTGATGTCTTTCACAGGCGTGGGGGTTCACTTCCATATGTATATGGATGACACCCAATGTGTTACTGTTTCTTTCAATAAACAACCTAATGCAATGTTTGTAAAAGCTACACATCTTCATTCTCTGGAACTCCATTCCCCCAACTCGCTCTCTCCTTCCCTACATTCAAAGCCCTCTCAAGCCGTATCTCTTTGACCATGCATTTGTTGATTTTCTCCTCCCCTTTGAGATGTTCTCCCACCGTGAAAGGTGCAACATAAATGTAAAACATGACATATAGCAATTATGCCTCACAAGTGTTAAATTCTCTCTATGCTTGCATTATAGTCAACATTATTAAATTCCAATCACTCAGTCAATTACACTAGTGTAATTTGTGGCAGAATATATATGCTAAATTTGTGATTTGGGATTGCTTTTCCAGAGAAGATATTAAGCCCTACTTGAAATATGCCTTAATTGCATACATGTTTAGAAAACATAAAAGCACTGCAATGTCATTAGCGAGCTTATTTATTCACTAACGCCTATTAATAAATACCTTAATTGATAATTTGCTGCCTTGGGAAGAAGACATGTGGTTAATTTACAGCGTACAAATGAAACTTAGCCGTAATACACCAAGGCCAATTCTGGTATCAAAAGAAATATTTCACGATAAGCACTAAATGTGAACTACTATTACTGCAGACTGTACAATTCAGCACAACCTTTGTTTGTAAAATAAAATTGATGGATGCTGCCCACAGTTCCTAATACTGTATCGAAAAGTGATATAACTTAAATGTACGGAAACAAAATAATCATCAGGCTCCTAACAGGTATCTATAAAAGGTATACAAACTATATCAAAGATTGTGGATATGTTCACCTTTCGACTGCCAGGAGGTTTAAATCTCACATCTTTGTCACGTAACAATATGGCTCAGTTGGTAGCACTCTTGCCTCTGAGTCAGAAGGTTACGGGTTCACACCTCACGTCAGGAGTCTGAATTCATAGTCTAGGTTCACAATCCAGCCCGGTGCTGAGGATGTGAAGCTTGTCCTGTCTCTCTGCTCAGGTGGATGTTAAAGATCCCATGGCATTTTTTGAAAAGAGAAGGGAGTTTCTCCCATGCCTCAGCTAACATCCCCAAATAAAATTGGTCATTCATTTCATGGATGGTTTGGGACATTTCTGTGCGCAAATTGGTTATTTGCCAACAAAAACACACAGTCACTGCACCTTATAATATAACAATAACAACTTGCACTTATATGGTGCCCTCCATGCAGGGATACGTCTCAGAACGCTTAACAGTGGTAGAGCCTGATTCTGAGCCGGGCAGTAGGGTGGTGGCCATAAGCACGGTCGAAGAGGAAGGTTTTCAGGCAGTACTTAAAAAGAGGGAGAGAGGGGGCAAGGCGGGGGGATTGAGGGAGAGTGTTCCAGAGTTTTGGGGTGTAGTGGCTGAAAGCGCGACCTCTGATGATGGGACTGAGGGAGCGAGGGATGAGCAGGAGGTGCCGGATGGTGGATTGGGGAGTGAGGAGGTCGGAGAGGTAGGGAGGTGCCATAGAGTGAAGGAAGGGATTTGAACACGAGTTTGAGCATCTTGAAGTCGATCCATTTGGTGATGGAGAACAAGTGGAGCCTGGCCAGAACTGGTGAGATGTGGGTACAGAGTTTGGTCTGGATCAGTATGCGGGCGGCAGAGTTCTGAATAGCTGGATCTTTTGAATAGTGGAGCTGGGGAGACCAGCGAGGAGTGTGTTTGAGTAATCCAGGCAGGAGTTGACAAACAGGAGTACGAGGAGGCAGAGGTCACAGATAGAGAGCACGTTTTTTGTGACTTTGACAAGCGCTGTATCTGTGCTGTGGGCAGGGCAAAAACCAGACCGCAGGGGCTCGAGGAGGGCGTGGAGGGAGAGATGTGTCCACAGTTGACCTGCAACAATGCGTTCCAGGACTTTGGCAAGGAAAGGTAGGTTGGAAATGGGACAGTGGTGTAACAGATTAGAGGGATCGAGGGTGGGTTTCAGTAAATCCTATGAAGTGCTTTGCAACACTCCCCATTCTCCTCGACTCAGTGTCAAACTCCACCACTGTTATGCACTCTGAGATTCTCTCCCGCCTGAAGGCACCATATAAATTAACGTTGTTATTGTTGTTGTCATCTGGATGTGAAATACTACAATAATCCTTGTATTTTGAAACACACAATCCTTACATTTGATATTGTAATATCATTTATTATCGCCTTATCATGTCTTCTAGCGTTTCAAAGCGCTTCGCAGAATATACTGTAAAGTAAATTGACTGTATATTTTTTGGGCGAAATGCGGCAGCCAATTACGCACAGCAATGTCCCATAAACAGTCATGGATTAAGTGACCAAATTATTATTTATTTATTTTTGAAAGAATTATTACGCTCAGAAAAGCGATCTGCCAATCGACTAACAACTGGGTTCCTACTTACTGCTAAGAAAACAGAGGCGTGTGGAGTTAGGAAACTTGCCCAACATTTCGCACTGCCGGGAATTGAACCCAGTTCCTCTCGTTTGCAAGGCGAGTGCTAAGCTAAGCTACAGGACTCCATGATAGCACTATATCAAATGTAGGAAGAATTATGGATGTATTTTAAGCTCATATTCTGTCACACTCTTACACGCTCTGGATTTTGAATTAAGTTATTGAAGAATGTGTTATTGAAAACCACAACTTGGGTGGATGCTGGACTTATTTAACAAACAGCTTGATGTTATAGAGATGGATGGTAGGGTGTGTGAGATCAAATGGGCTGAAGGGCTTTCTTCATCCAGCTCACTCTTATGATTTTTTAATATTTACCGTAAACCACTAAACTAAATGCAGGGAAAAAATTTCAATAAAATTAAATAATTTTACAGCCTTAACTGTGCAGTTTTGAAGTTTCAGCTAAAGTCAGGGGATCTTTATCATCCGACTCTGCAGGCAGTTAGAATTTCATTTTGACATGAAGTGGAAAATATAATTTCTGTTTTCCTTTTATTACTTTTTAATTCTACTTTTCTCTGCTTCCCCCATTCTGTATTCATGCTTATTCTAGCATTTGACTAATTCTATCTTTTTCTGCTTTATTCGTTCAGATTTCAGGCAATGGGACCAGATAATTCCTTGATGTGAATTTCGATTCTCAAGCACAAAGTGGAAGTGTGGGCAGGCTGTGTGACTGTGAAAGCCGGATCCTATCCTTTCCTGACAGTTGTAAACACACAGTTTCTCATAGGCTTTTTAAAAAACATTCCCCACTTTACTCCAGTGTTCTGATAGTAAAGATTCACATTGAGTGCCAATTGCTCTCTAGTATCTTGTCTAACTGTTTCATTCTTCAGGTGTGAGCTTGACCATAAGTGTGCAGGTTATTTCAAGCATGGACGGTATCACAGTAGGATCTGACCTAGTCCTTACCAAACAGGCATACACGAGAATTTTCTAGTAGGATTTTAATCTAGAGCGGAAACCCTAACTGAATTTTTACATCTACCTAGGCCACTGATTGGTAAACAGCAAATGTTTGGCAGGGGGAAAGTGTGGATTTCACCCCACTTTCACACATCAATATTGGAAAACAAATATTGAACTAAAACTACCTTAAGCAGCTGTTATAAGGCTTACAATTTTTAAAGCAAAAATTGTCCGCTTGAAAAGTAAAAAATAATGGCGGAGACTGGTGTTTGAAAAGGAAGAAACCACTTGGTTGGAAACATGTGCCACCCCCTAATAGGTAATAGTTTTCACTATCTAAGAAGTGTCCTGGCCAACAATCCTCCAAAATAAAATTGGTCATTCGCTTCATGGCTGTTTGTGAGCCATTGCTGTGTCCAAATTGGCTGCTGATTGCCTACGACACACAGTGGAGACTTGTTCATCCATAATTATAGAAGTGGCTTAGAGCTGCAGTTTTCATATTCTGTGATAATGTGTGTGCACGTGTTTGGGCACACATGAGTTTGTGTGTCGGCAGACAGAATTTATTGCTTACATGGTGAAATCAAAGTTTATTGGTAACTTTCAGAGTTTGTATGAAACCTTTATATAAATTGGTTGTTTCTGTTTAATACATTCAATTAGCTCATGTGGGAAATTGAGGTTGTTACCGACATTTTAGTATGTCAGATGGCTGAACAATAAACTGTTATTGAATCTTGTTATTATGTGTTCTGTGGCTTCACTTAAGAATTAATGTTATTGGTGTTTAGCAATTGGTTTTACAACATCAAAAACAAATTATGAAACCTTTGCATAAAATTCTGAAAGAAGTGTCCTGGCCAACAATCCTCCAAATTAAAATTGGTCATTCACTTCATGGCTGTTTGTGAGCCGTTGCTGTGTGCAAATTGGCTGCTGATTGCCTACAAAACACACAGTGGAGAAAACTTTCCTCCACTTTACAGTAAATCCTGTGAAGTGCTTTGAATCATTGCCTGAAAATGAAGGTGCTGCATCAAATGCAAGGATTATTATTATTATTGAAATGGATAAGAATGCGTTGTGAAGTAATTATTATATCACATACCACATTTCCCCCCTCAGTCTTCAGCCACCAATCCTACCTTCTGGAACCCATCATTAAAACTCTTCACTTTGTTCCCTCTCTATCCATCTTTAAAATCTCCTGATTATCTTCATCTTTGACCTTGCCACTTTCAATGGAGCTGTAATCCTTAATTCCAGTTCCTTGTTCTTTTCCTGTACCCTACCTGCTATATCTATCTCACACACATCCTATCCTCCATGGGGGAAGGCTCTAGCTTTGTGTTTGCAGAGAAATTGGGAAAGAGAAAATAGCTTCCTCTTGTTGCCCTTCATTCCCTCCTAAGCCACTTGACTAGATGTACATTAGCTGCTCTAACTAAGAGCAAAGACCATACTTCAGAATCCTCTTGCTGGCCATTTTGAAGCTTCTTATCTCTGATTATTGCCAATAGTGGAAAAGGAACGAACAGTAGGCATAAAGGTTCTTTGTCAGTAATGCCATTCCTGCCTATCAAAAGGAACTCTGGGCCATTTTTGTTATAGCTAAATGTTTATTCAGGACTGCAGTCTCAAATTGAGCTGCTGTAATTGTCATCGACAATATAGCTATTATAAATATTCAATTTTCATTGTCATGAGAGTGGGTAGCAACATGAAATCAACAGCAATGAGAAGCATTATTGCTTCATGACAAGCATACTACTGTTTCTGAATATGTGGCAGGTCTGCAATAAGTTTACATTAATACAAGGTTGCTTGTTGACCAAGAATTCATTACAGCACCATTCATGATTCATCCAGGGTTAATCAGATACAAACTACTCATGCATAAGCTTGTCATTTAACACCTCTTGCTCAGATATTTAAGGCCTGGCACAATTGTAAAACCTTTAGAGGGAATTATAGCAATTATGGTAGTTTTACACCACGTGTGTTGAACAAAAGCCAGCTGTGTTTATATCACACATGTGCACAGAGGAGCAGTGCTTTATTACCAGCAGTTTGGTCTTTAAGTCAAAACGATTTTCAAACTGTTGAGGATGAAGTGTTGGTAATGACCAAAACGCAGATTAACGTATCTCACCATGTGATGCCCTGCTGTAGTAGTCCACTAAATGTCTCAGTTATTCTAAAGTCATGATATCAAACCACCACCTATATTGGAGGGTTAGGAGCTGCTTTCCTGCGAGTATAATGTCAGGTCTGCAGTGGACTCTCCCCTAGTTTTGCTCCACATACGTGCACAGAGCTTCGCTAAGTGCTCCACACGGCACATAAAACTGTTGGTTGTTAACAGTTACCTGAAGCTCTAAAGCTTCACCATATATAATAATAAGAAGACCAACAGCTTGAGGTAACTATTTTTCCCAACTCAAATCACACTTGTAATCGGATTTTGTTATATATTTTGCTTCTATACTTTCATTTCTAATCAATTATATTTTGTAAAATGCCTTGGGAGGTTCGTTTTTACATGAGTGACATGATAGAATCAAGCCAGAACCCTAATGGGTTGGATAGTCCTAGCTGGAGAAGCAGTGGGAAAGCTTGCCAGACACCAAAATCAATGGCAAGCTATGTGGTTTTAGCTGGTTAGACGCCAGTAGTACTCCAACCCACACTCTGAGGTCCCCAAGCCTTGCCTCTTGGCAACCTGCACCTAATACTCATTTGCCAGAGCTTCACCACAACAATAACAACAGCAACAACAAAATTAAATTTGTATAGCACCTTTCATGTGGTCACTTACAAATACTGAGGACATAGTACATTGCTAGACCCGATCCATGTAAATCCCAGTTTTAAATAAACTCTCCTTCATATTTTCGGCTTTTGCATTTTTCTGGAACCTCCCCTGTTACCATCATTTCATCTTGTGGGGTACCGGTACGTTTTCTCCCCTTTATTACAAACAATCCATTTTCTAACAGACTTACTGTTTGAAAAAAATTCAGCAAAAGTTTGCAGGTAATGTTGAATTTGTATGGGTCACATTTGGAGTACTCTGGGTCACTGTGTCAAATTCTGGTCACCACACTATAAGAAGGATCTAGCAGCGATAGAGAGAGTGCAGCTTAGGGTTGTTAGGATGATACCACAGCTGGCAGGATATTGCTATCTTTATAGACTGGATAGGTTAGGCCTTTTCATTAGAGAAGAAATATTTAAGGGGAGCTTAATATGATAGAGGTGTTTAAAATTATAAATCGGTTCAATAAGCATAGCATAAATATAGATTGTTCCCACTTGTTGGCGAGTCTGTAACCAGGGGACACAAGTATAAAATAACATCTAGGGGATTTAAAAGAGAATTTAGGAGAAACTACTTCACACAGAGTAGTGAGATTGTGGAACCCGCTGCCTGAATCAGTGGTTGAAGCAGAAACCATTTAAAAGGAAACTAGATATGACCTGAGTGAGATGGGAATAGAAGTGTATGGGAGGGAATGAGGAATGGATGGAGACTCATGTGGAATACAAAAGCCACGGACTGAATGAGCTGAGTGATCCGGTTTCTGTGCTGTTCAGTCTACTGTGTACTGACTCTTTCACGTTTCCTTCTGTTCAAACCACACCAAAGAGCTTCGACAATCTACCTGCATGAAGGGCGATATATAAATTCAAGTTATTGCTATTGTTGAATATTGCAAACAAATTATTTTAGTTTTAACAGCCAGAGATCCAGGATGTGCAAGTATAGAAATATGTTTTGGAGTATTTCTATGCTACAAATGTCTGGCAATTTTCATTAAATAACTTTGAAAGCATTTTAAAAGTGTTTTTAAACATGTAGCATGAAACAGATACAAAATGTAGGAGCTATGGATTACTGTAGAGCAAACTAGTTGTGGCTCAAGCCTGACATTTACCCCCAGGAGCGGAGCTCATGGACAGTGCAACTTGATATCCCCCAGTGACTTGTTGTTTATGTTAGTAGCTGCTCAGAAATAACACTCATCACACTCTGAAACATACACATATAATCGTGGATCCAATAAATCTACTTTTGGTAAAATAATATATATATATTTATATATTGCATCGATTAAAAAGGAGGAAATCATTACAGTATTCAATAATTTTCTAACCAGAAACTCCTAACTTTATATCACGTGAATCATAAATAATATCTTTGCTGAGCTTTATCACAACAGTATTTAGAGAACTGTGACAAAGCAGAGTGGCAGAACAGAGAGACCTAGAAGTTTAATGAGCCTTTAAAGATGGGAGTGCAGATGGAAAAGACGATAAAATAATTCAATACAATTTAAATTTATATATGGTAAACCGCTGGTTTACTGGATTCTGAGTATCCAAAATTTGTACCTTTCTGGCCTGAAATGGAAAAAGTCCGCATCTAGACTCCCGCATGTAGGGGTTACTGCAAAGTGCAGTGACTGTATTTTGTCGGCAAATGCAGCAGACAAGATCCACAAACTGTCATGAAGTGAATGGACATTCAAAGGGAAGTTTGAAATATTCTTGAAGATATATATTACTAGCTATTGGGAAAGAGCTGTAAACAATAAGCTTCTTGTATGTTATGGGACTATTAGAAGTCGCCTTGAAGCATTCTTTTTGAGTGTGGGGTGAAAAAATGGTGATAATTATCACTTAAACAATTTTTCACAGCTCATTGGTAGACAAAAAAGAAATTCATCCCCTTTAGACTTTCCCATTCAATAAGTCAAGTACCAATTTACCATAACCCATAGACAAAACTTTCAGGAATATAAAGCTCTGTGAAAGGTTTTCTAACTAACTCCCCTAAGATAATGTGGTGAAGATGCAGGATATGAATCTAATATTATAGGATACATTATTTAGTCCTAATGCACTATATTCCACAATCAGTATTTCCATAGTCCCAGCAGCCATGGAGCTATAGCACTCCACAGAATATTTGATTCTGCTTATATTGATCCCCACAGCATTCAATACTATTCTGGATTATCAACCAAAACCTTTTAAAAGGAACTAGTTGACCTAGCATGAAATGGTTTTGATTCCACATGCCTGCCATGCTATTACTCAGTGAAAGAAATTACCTCATCTCCAGGCTTGCTGAAGGCAGCTAATTGCACACTTGTGTCTTTTAGTTCTGCACCTTTGAGGCCCGCAATTCTAGTCTTAGCCTGTAAACACAAACAACTTGCATATATATAGCACCCTTCACATGGGGTTGCATCCCATAGCGCTTCAACTATTTTGTCTTAAAATGTAATATCGTGTAGTGTCATTAAAATTCTTAAATTCAGTCCTAATTTGGAAGAATTTTATAATAAAAATAATAATCCTTGCATTTGATATAG